ACCCCCAAACTCCTTGCAACACACAGCCTCCTCATGACCCCCAAACTCCTCATGACCCCCAAACTCCTTGCAACACATAGCCTCCTCATGACCCCAAAGGCCAGCGGGCCTCTGATCAGCACGAACCCGAGCACAAACACAAGCGCCCCGGGGGCACGGAGCGGTTCTCACCCGCGGCGGCGGCAGGGCTCGGGAGCAGGTTGCTGCGCATGACGAAGTGGTCGGTGGGGTCGATGATGTCATACACGCTGTCGCCTTGCGCCACGAGGTCCACCTGGGGAGAGCGAGACGAGCGTCAGTCCGCAGCGGGGGGGCACGTGAATCACCGGCCCCCGGACCAGAACACCCGCGACATCTTCTAATGAGTTGCTGATTAAACGGCAATAATTAGTGATTCATCGCCCCTAATATCAGCCCGATGGTAGGTAGCGGCTCCCAGTCAGCTCGCTCCTCTGACTCGCTAAGTGGCTTATTCATCGCGAATGAGTCACCCGCGCGCGGATCTGAGCGAGTGGGAAGAGGCGCTAATTAAAATGTTATACTTGTTTAAAACGAAGAGGGGGCGACACAACTTTAGTGGCAGCTGATGCCCGATTAAGCTATTATTAATCGTAAATAGAGGGAGCGGTGGAGGGGACCTGAATTAACTCACTGAACCGCGCTCGTTCAGCAGCGAAGCGCATCCCACCGAGCCCGCCGGGAGAGAGCTCCGTACCATGGAGTGGCCCAGGTGCTCCGTGACGTTTTCCGACAGGTAGAGCAGCTTGCCTTCGCTGGTCATCACCAGCAGGAAGCCGGAGAGCGCCTGGACGAACTCGGACAGCTCCTGGAAGGACAGGAACGCCCCGCTCTCCTCCTGGGTGCCGGTACCTGCGAGAGAAAACGGCAGAAGCGCTTTGTTAACCGGGGGCACGCGCCTCCAGCTCCAGCACCGCGGACAGCGACCCGCGCGCCTGCTGGCCGGCCGGCGACACGCGCCTCCAGCACCGTGGACAGCGACCCGCGCGCCTGCTGGCCGGCCGGGCTGAGTCCCGCCGCAGCGCACACGCGCACGGGGAGGTCCGGCCGAACAGAACCGACACCGGCGCGCCGGGGGGGAGTCTGGGCGCCAGTCGGACTGTCAACCTGTTGATCCCCGGAAGCTCAAGCGAGCGGCTCGTTCAGACCGCGCGATTCAAGCAGCGGTCAGACACAGACAGGTCGGTAGACCTTCCTCTTCCTCGGGCTGCCTGATGGACGCGAGAGCCCCGAGACATCCTCTCCGCTCCCCGACGCGTCCTCAGACCCCACACACATCCTGTTTGCTCTGGGCTTCGTGGGTGCTCTTGTGCTTACCCTGCGAGAAGAACACCGATTTCCTGGTGTACATGCACGCCAGGGACATGATGTGAAGGTAGGAGAGCCGAGCTTTGTCCGCTTCGGAGATGGGCAGCAGCTCCTTTAGATTCCGGATTTCGGCGTTGATCTGGTCCCTCCGCGCCTTGGACGCCCCCTTGGTGGACCTGTACATCTTGCCGGAGACGGTGGCGGCGGTGGCGGCTCGGCAGAGGGCGGGGTTCGCGCTGCCTCGGCGGTCCGGTTCTGGGAAGCGAAGGACAAAGTTCTGTCGTTCTCCTCTCGCGCTCCGTGTAGCTCCAGGCTCCCCAGTCTGCCCGCGCGGATCCCCGTGTCGGTGCGCCTCGCGAGTCCAGATGCCGTGGCCGGTGTATCTGGTGGAGGTACTCCGCGCGCAGCTCCCTTATATAGGCTGGGTGCACGAGTGGGGGCCCGCTGGCATCACCGACGTCACAAGGGGGGGATGATGGGGGGGGGGGGTTCGTTTGCACACAAGAACCAGTCCGGAGCCGTGAGGCGCTGCTGCCCCCCCTCTCTGACTCCGAGCCCACGTCACCCACTTCTGCCGATGACGCGGTCGGGAAAAGGAGCTCCGGCGACGCAGACAGCCCGATTAGGACAAAATCGGAGAGGGGCGGGACTCCGCTCTCTGGAATCACGGCTTGCTCATCAGTTTGTCACACTCGGACCCGGGGCCGCGTCGAGCCCGCAGGTGAAGAGGAAGGCGCTCTTAGTGCCTCCTCGGTCTTTCGGATTTGACGCGCATGCCTGAGGTCTTTGCTGCAGAGCCGAGCCGAGCCGGTCCGAGCCGAGCCCCTGGCTGAGCAGAGTGCCGGTGTGTCCGTCCGGGCCCTTTCCAGCGCGCTCTCAGTTTGGGGTCACTGAACACCGATTGGGGGGTGGGGGCGGGTGCGCTCCCGGGATGCCCATCACACGTGCGGTGCAGGTGCAGGACAGCCCGAGTTTTGTGAATGGCGGCGGGGTTCGGCTGCAGCCGAGCCGGGGGGGGTTCTGCTGAAAACCGCGAGAGTCGCAAAGCGACGCCGGGAACCAGACAAGGGAGAGATGGCGGAGGAGAGCTTCATTCTTCTGCGAGGAAGAAAAAAATAATTGCGTTGTATTGGTTACATAACCATGTATCATTCCTTATAAGGGGAAAAGATTTGGGTGAAACGTAACTTTGAGGTGGCGTCTCACTGCGCAACTGCCTCGGGTTTCTATGCACGACTCGTATTAACAGTCAGGTCTGGTCCTCCCTTCCACACACAAGAAAAAACACTCGGACGACGGTGCAGACAGTTTTATGTACAAATGCACTGAACTGGGAACGGGGGTAGGATAATTAATCTCACTTCGCGGTCACGTCTCCCAGACTTCTGTCAAATCGCAATCGCACGTTATATAAAGAGGCCGGGAGAGCAGCGCGCTCCGCCGGGCGTGCGGACGGGAGATAAGGCGAGTCGTTAGTCGAGTAAATATTGGTGACCAGTCCTGAATAAGGCAGCAACTGGCGATCGGGAAGGATGGTCGTCCTGCAAGACAAACGGCATTATCTTTCAGAGCAAAGCAAAATAAAAACAAAACCGTCAATCTGCTCTGAAAGCTGCGGGCGGGTACATCTCACACCGACACTTCATAGCGTGGACGCGCGAGGCTCTGTCCAGCAGGACATCGCCCAGTTGAGCCAGGCGACTGAGCTCCTGAAGCGGTGTTCTCCAGTAATTACCCCGTTCACAACTCCTAGAGAGTTTCTGAACAAGTCACCAACACGCGGCGGAAAAAAGAAAGATCTGGGCGAGAAACGGGAATCCGTAAATATATATAGCGCCTTTTATCTCAAAAGATCTCAGTGCCTTACATACAGGTGGAGACGCGGCTCATCCACACCTGAAGTGCGGCCCCACCTGGGAGACACACAGCGGCCATTCTGCATCAGCGTGACTGCATGACCCCACGCTCACCAGGCAGCAGGCGGCACCTGCAAACTCGAGTTCTGACTGCTGTTCTCTATAGCAAACAAATCGCAAAACTCTCACCAATTACTGTCAAATCTAGAGACAAAATGAGCAACACTATTAAAAGTAACATCATGTGAAAACATTTTGTTGTTCTTTCTTCTCTGCGCAGTAATTAAGCAGCAGCTCCCGTTTGGATTCAGGCCTGAATACTTGTACCTGAGTCAGCATCACGCCGGTTCCGGACGATTTTCTCCCTTAAATCGCTTGATTCTTAATTGTTTAATTGATATTCTGCGTCACTGCGAGTGCATTCATTAAGGACTAATCGAGTGCTTGAGGCCCGAGCAGTGGAAGAGGCCGGATGACCCCCCCCCCCCAAAAAAAAAAACAGCTCCCTTCGTAATGAGCGCGTAATGAATTGATTTGACTTCAGTCTAAGACCCTGCTAATTATGTTTGGACCAGCCCAGGTCCCGAGCCCGTGCCGTGAGGTCGGAGCCGGGCGGAGAAATCTCGCGCTTCGCTTCGGGATGAAATAAACCCGGCGCGAGCGGGTCCTTGCACCAAGAGGGGCCGCGTGCTGCGGGAACAGCGGCTCGCGGCCTTGAAGGCAGAGACCCTGCGGAAGGGGGTCTCGCTTGCTTGGGGGTGAAATAAAAAAACGGGTTTGTTCGGCTGCCTGGAAACTGGATATCTAGCTAGATAATGAGCTTTAGAAACAGCACTTCACGTGTTTGGCGTCAGGGGCTGTGCTGCACGAATGCGTGTAAGTATCAAGGTCACGTAAATCTGACACACACACACACACACACACACACACACACACACACACACACACACATACACACACACACACACACACACACACACACACACACACACACACACACACACAGCTCTTGAGGATACATTGGCTGTATCCCGTCCTCAGCGGTAGGAGCCCCACCCGGCCCTGGCTGACAGGCGGACTGTTGTTTCGGAGAATTGGGGTTGGTGGGGCGTCACGACGCCGATTGTACCCCCCTGCCCCCCCAGTGGTGAACGCGCTCAGCTCTCGGACGGGTGTGCTCGTGCCCGGGACGCCCAGAAAGGTGAACAACAAAGGCGATGACGTCGCGAGGGCGTTTAATTATAGCGCCCAGCTCCGGACACGATCACACACACGGGCTCATACCTGTTCATCGGAGAGTGACACTATGTATAGAACAGTTTCTATTAATGGCTTTTAAAGGGAGAATGGCACGTACCCCCCACACTCAGGAACACGCTCACAAAGCTGAAATTCGGTCCATTTTTGGCGTCGGTGTGATTTATTTTTGTTCAGCGGAGAGTTCATGTGTAGTTTTGTCTCAGAATCCGAGGGCTCGTTACTGAGTGGGACTGAACTTCGGTAAGTGTTCGTGACGTTGCACAGTCATACTGAAATACAAAGGCAGCGATATTACCCGGCCCAGAGATCCGGCCAGCTGAGCTTTCCTCTACTGTTACCAGTGTCGTACAGCCCGGGCGGGCCGGTGCGGGTCCCCGAGACACAGGCCAACATCCGGATCTCAGGCAGCAGAGCAAGTGGCGTCAGCAGGACTGTGCCGCCTCTACGTGGTGCTACATATACAAGTTATTACATCTGTTGCCAGAATGATAAAACCTGCAGGCGTGGTTTCCCGGAGAGGCGACTCCTCCCGCTCCTGACCCGGGCCAAGCACGTTCCTGGCTCTTCAAGACCCAACAGTGTCGCGCCAGGAAAGGCGCAGCAGGGCACCTAAACATCTGAGTGAACCGGTTCTTTTATCCTCGCACTTTTGGAATTAATCTGACGTGCTTTTCATTTTCCCACTAGAGTTTAAATTCTCTAGCAATAATATTGCTATTTTCTTATCGTTAATCTATTTTTTATTACATTTATCATTTACTACATTTCCCAGAAGCCTCGGCGCAGATGACGTGACCGAAACGCGGAAATGCGACCCCGGGGTTTAGAAACATGGCGACTCGAACAGAAGCGGAAAGCGCTCACGTTTTCACCCCTTCCACGGGAATTACCTCCCAGACGGGCCAGGTACCACTGTGTCTACACCGGAGGTGTGCAGTGGTTTGGGGACATGAGCGAGGTGCAGTTGTGTTGTTATTTTGGGCTGTCCTTCTCACCTGTCTGGGGGTCTTGGACCAGGAGCTGCAGCCCGAGAAACCAGAGAAGCTCTTGACCTCCCTGCTGCAGACTCAGCGCCAGGAGAGCACTGAAGAACAGCACCTGGGTGTCTGTGCACCTGCAGTAACACCAGGCATGGCTTCTTGTAAAAGCTGGACTGGATCGGACAGCTGTGCAGTGGGAGTGTGATCACTAGGGCTGACAGTTTCGACGGCTGGATTCTGCCCCTCTTTTCCTACTCCACCTCTTCCTGTCCGGCTGTCCGTGGAGGCTCGGCTCACCCCAGGTTCGCTTGTTTGGGGAGCCACACGGGTGTGTCCGGACACAACCCCCCCATCCCGGTCACTTGTTATGTCTGGCAGAACTCTGGCTGTGTGCGAAGTGAGTCCATTCAGTCCCCCTACACAGGTGGGAATCGCGCACAGACACACCCTGGCAGAGGGGCTCGTCTGCTGAGCGTGCGACAGGACGTAGTGCTGGAATCCCAAGGGACACTGTCCCCCTCGTTGTTAATATTGTTCCTCTAATGAGCAGGTGTCAGAGCTGTGCAGCCGTGGGCTGGAGACAGGAGGCAGTCCGCTCTGCCGCTGTTCCTGCTCTGAGGGCTGTGTGGACAGACCTGTCCCAGTCCAGGAGCACTGGGGTCTGCAGTGAGTGAATGGGCTCGCTCTAGAACACTACTGGGAGGAGACTGTTTTCACTCTAGAACACAGGCTGGGACGCGACGCAAATGACATATTCTAGCTGGGCGTGTGGAAACATCTAGAAGACTCACAAGTGAAATGCAGATGCATATCGTGTAACAAGTGCAACCAGGTTAAAAATAGTTATTTCTGAAAACTCTCATCCTTCCTCTCCTCTCCTACAACATGAGCAGTATCCCTCTAGGCACCCGCGAGCCTGATCCTTCCTGAGTTTGTCTGCGCTTCCTTTATCCTACCTGTGCTGTTGTGGAGGAGGCTGCTGGCAAAAACAGCCCCCCTCCCTCTCCTTCTCCCTCTTCTCATTGATTACACCCCCTCTGCAGTTGAGAGCAGCACCAATTTTACCTTGTTTCCATTCAGAAAAGAAATGTTGTTTTCCTCCCTTCCCAGCAGCCTCAATGGGTCCTATTGAATAAGATGCTTAATTTCCTTTCATGATGCGAGCGCACTAACGAAGCCATTATTCTGGCCCTGCTGTGTGGGCATTCAGAACAAGGGAGGAATGAGTGCTGAGACAGAGACAGAGTGTCATGGCCTGCCCGCGGAGACAAAGGCT